AATGTGGATATCTAAGGATGGGATATTAAAATTGGGAGGTGCGCTTACTGGGGGGACCTCTGTACCACGGAATATAAGCTTAGATTGTGGAACGTTGCACACTACATTGTAGCATTGGGTATAAAGATGCATCGTCTTGACCAACATATTCAGCATTGGTGGTGCCAGAGGCGATTTCGTCCACGTCTTGTCCTTTAAATTAGCATTGAATGTTGCTATCTGCTGCTCCAGAACCACTGTAGATGATCGTCCCATTTTGGACACTATGATTTCCAGAGTGGCATGGGGCGTCTTCGTCTGTATTAGTTGAGTGTACACAAGTTGTAGATCCATACAGTTGGCGAGTGTGACGCCAGTCATTCCGTAGCCACGCAACCATTTCGCCGTCCGACTCAAGTCGAATACGACCTTGACAATCTGGTCATCCTCCATCAGTGTCTTCAATCCACTGATTACTTCATTTCTATCCAATGCACCAATCTGAAGTACAACCGCCTCGGACGTGGGCAAGTCATTTCCGAGTGCGATGGCTACAACCCGATCAGTGGTACTTGAACCTGCAAATTGGAAGTGGACACCAACGACTTTCCCTGTGGTAGCTACGGGTTTGTTGTCGTAGTTAGACAACAGCGCTTTCAACTTCTTGTTTGATGCGATGTACCGCAACGGTGGCATGTTGGCAAGCACCTTATGGATAGCTTGACGACTTGGACGCGGAGGATCCCGCCCGCACTCAGTGGGCTGCTGCGCACAGCGACAATGACAGTTTGGCCACGGTCCCTACATTCATGCACTCCCTCATCATGCCACCCGAGCGCCGAGCTCGGAACGTGATTCCATTATCCGCGGCATCTCAAGCGTGAACTCCTCTCGTCAGCTGTTATTCTCCACGTACTCTGAATGTCGGAGTTGCTCTCCTCTCTCTCAGTCTCAGACAGTAACTCGTTAATACCAATAGTTTCGTCACCGTTCATTCTTGTATCTTGACTTCTTCACCACTTTAGGGATGGTCTTCTGTCGTGATACTCACTCTACAATGGTTGTTTTCTGAGATCCTCACTGGACCCAGGAAACAATCACTTTATAGTCCTCAAAATCAATACCGTTCGTTTCACACATGCGGGTTCTTCGGGCCAAAGTTGTCCTTGAACCTAGTTCCCAGGGTGATCATCTCCAGCTTGCATAGCTTGGAAACGGGCTCTTGCCTTAGCACCCTGGTCGAACTCGTATAACAATGCCCCACAATTAAGTTGAGCTAGGTCCGTGAATCCTTTCCACTTGATCAGATATTCTCGAGAACGTTTGGAGGTCCTGGTGCGTTTAATCCATCTGAGATCTAGGATCTCTTCGACCTCATACTCATCCTGGGTAGTGTCTGGCTCCCAACTATCCTCAGGTAGCAAAGCTGCGTCAAAACCACCCTCTTCTGAGACTCGTATCTCTGAAGTCGGTCGCTTAGGGAACAGAGCTCTCGGTTTGAGGCGGCTAATATGAACCCACGGATTCACGCGGTAGCCTGTGCCTGGGATCTTGAGCTTGACTCTGAAATCGTCATGAATTGCATCGATTCGGAAAGGTCCGTGCCACAGGTGAGCTAACTTGCGACTCAATCCTGTGCGGACTTTGGGGATGTACAACCACACAGAATCACCGGCTTCAAAACCTGCCTTTACACGGTCTGAACGTTCTCTCCACTTACGAGTCTGCGCAGCAGATCTCGCACGTTTTGCCTTCTTTTGCAAGTCCTCAGCACATGCGAGAGCATAACGTTAATCCCGTTGCATCTTCCGATGCCACTCCAAGGCCGTTCGTTCTTGGATTGTGGATGGCTTCGGACCCAGCATTGCGGATATGGTTCCCTGGGCGTCCCAGCCGAGGACCAGGTAAAACGGAGTATCTAATCTTGCGGCATCGAACGAGGTATTCAAAGCGAACATGAGACGCTCTGCATGCTCGTCCCAGTCACTCTGGTCAACTTTAGCGACATATGCCCTGACACTCCGCATTACCGTTTGGACTGAGCGTTCTTGCTGTCCATTGGCCTGAGGCCGGTAACCTAGTGTCGCACGCTGCTTGCTCTTCAGAAGGTATCTCTGAATCTAGCGAAGACCTTACTCATAAAACGGGGGTCCTGATCATGTCTAATCATTGAACTCGCCCCAAATCTTCTGAATACGCACTCTTCATATGCCTCAGCAACATCCGGGCTTCGGTATTCCGCATGGGTTTACACATGACGTATCCTGAGAATTGATCCTGGAACAGCAACAAGTAGGTATTTCCACGATCGGACTCAGGTAGCTCAGTGACAAAATCCATAGAGATCACCTCGAATGGACATCTCGGTTCGATATTGTCAGGTGACGGACCGAGAACCGGTGGTCGCCCCTTGGCTGAAGCGCAATCTACGCATTCTCTCACGAACTTCTGTACATCAGCGTACATCCCGATCCAGTAGAACTCCGAACGCAATCGCTCAAACGTCCTGTTGATTCCTTGGTGGCCACCTTGAAAGTCTTCATGTGAATAGTGTAACATATCAGCACCTAAAGTTTCTGGGACCACCAGCCTGAGTTTCGACTGCTTGTTGCGAGGTCTCTCCGGGGTAGGTGTACTCAGCCTATAGAGGGCTTCTCGCGAATCCAACGCAAACTGATCGGAAACCTTCGCAATCTTCTTGACTTGATTCCGTGGAAGTTCTGACACGTCTCCTTTTAGGACCTTCTTCATTTGCTGAATCCACAAGTCTTCGTCTTGGTGAACCTTAATTCTCCTCCAACGTTCATCCTGGTATCCTGACTGGTCTGCAGGAGTCCGAGAACCTACGTCTGCTTCTGTTCGGGACCTCGTCATCACCATCAATGCTTCAGCAGCAATAGCTAAGGACTCTGGTATCCCGACATCGGGACTATCCACTCCGATCCTGATTTGGTCTGAACGAACTGCATCAAGTTCTGAAGTCTTCATGATCTTTTCAGGGATCTGGATACGAGACGTAGATGCACTATCTCATCAGGGTCGTCGAGTTCCCAGGATTCTCCGAGCACAAGAGTCTTAGAGGTCAGGTAATCAGCCGCTTGGTTGAATTCACGTTTGACATGGATCAAATTAACCGACACAAAATTCTTCCGGATATCTTCATACTCAGCTAAGCGTCGTTGCAGGTTGGGCTGGTAGCAATTAATCAGTCCATGAGCCTGTTGGACGACGATTCGGGAATCACCGACCCCCACAAGATCCTTGAGATCATACTTCATAGCGAGCATTAATCCCAGAATCAAACCATGGTATTCAGCATCGTTGACCGTCACACCTTCAAAGATGTGTCCTTCAGCTTTCACAACCTGCCACCCTGGCAGCTTCCACAGTATGCATCCACAACTTCCTCGGCGAGTAGAAACGTTCGCAGCACCATCAAAACTCAGAACGTAACCTTGGTAATCTGCTTCCAACATTTCCAGACTCACTGGTGGCATCACTTTCAGACGCCCCTTGGCGGGAATCAGGGTTGCTGCAACTTCATCTAAATGTTCCCTAGGCGTAATACCAGAACCGAGCCGCAAGGCCGTCCTCATCTTTCTGAGTCCGATGGATTTCCAGTGTCCATCTTGATAGTTCCAGCCCCCACTTCAGATGTCGTCCATCTGCGGTGTTAGACTGTAGTAACCACTTTAATACAGAGTAGCGCGTATACACCACAACTGGGAATTCTGATCCATGGATCAGAGTTCTGAAAACCTCCAGATTCCGCAAGATTGCGAGCACTTCCTTCTCAGCTATGTGATAACGTAGCTCTGATTCTTTCAACACTCTACCCGTAAATCGCACGGGGTGTATGAGTCCTTCATGCTCTTGACCCAGAACAGCACACGCTGCCCACGGGTTAGCGTGCGGAATTATCACGAAAGGCTTGGTTCTGTCTGGGTGTCGCAACAGCGGGGTCGACACGATCTTACGTTTCAGTATCTCGAAAGACTCCTTTGCGGCTTCCAGGTTCCGTCCAGCACGTACACGTTCTTCGTCTAGTTCGTAGAGCACAGCATGGTAAGTCTTCAATGAACTTATTGTAGTAGTTCAGGCTTCCTAAGAAGGACTGCACTCCCGTGTACGTCGACGAGAAAGGTAAATCCTCTATGCCTTTGACAATCTTCGGCGAGGCTCTGATTCCGTCCACACTCACCTCGTGGGAGAGGAATGGGATGGTCAACTTCCCGAATTCACTTTTGGGTAAGCTCACAGAGATATTCCAATATCGTAGTCTGTATAGCAACGCATACAGGTCTTCACATAGTTGGTCCCAGGTCGACGCCCCATGAGCGATATCGTCAATGTACGAGCTTCTTCCCAAGACCGGGCCCATTTGTGACGGAGCCGGGATGTTACGTCGAAATACGGTCATGTCTAGTGCCGTGATCTCTGAATCCCTCATATCTGCCTCAGGTTTCAGGACCTCTTGAGGCTCAAGATTCAAAAACTCCAGAACTTCTTGGTCAACCAACGCCTCCTCTTCAGGAGGCAGGCGGACGAATCCCGATAGACAGTTATTGATGATGCTCTGATAAATTAACGGTAGATTCTTCAATCCAAAGGGCATTCTGAGCCATTGAAAATGGCCAAACGGGCAAACAAATGCAGAGATTAGCTTTGCACGTTCGGCCATTCGCACCGCCCAGAATCCGCTCGCCATGTCAAGACTCATAAACCACATTGCAGACTTTAAGTCTACCAGCAGGTCATCGATCAGAGGTAGAGGATAGCGAGATAAGCAGATTCAGAAGCCGGTAATCAATACACATCCGGATGTCTT